TTGTGGTTATAATTTTGAACCAAAAATGGTTAAAGAAGAGTGAACAAATCTTTGTTCAAGTTCGGCTAGTTTACATATCTAGCGCAAAAAAATTTATTAGTGTTTGAATCATTTGCTTAATGAACAAATCAAATATAAGATACTTAATAATCCAAAAACTATTTGTTTTAGAACAACGAAATGTTGTAACAGCCCTAATCATTATTTTACTTTTAAAAAATAAGATAAAGCGTTCATGCACGAATAAAATGACAAGTAAAATTTATTGGATGATCCACATAGATACCATTTAATTCTTATGTATTTATATATATATATATATATATTACAGTTAAAACTTTCATATTTACATGCCTAACATATATGTATTCCATTTTGAAAAACTTTGATAAAATTAAAATCATAATATTTTCAATGTGACATAAACAAATTGGGTGATAAAAATATAAAAAATAAAATCAAACATTGGCTATGTAAATACAAAGAAATTAGGTGATATGCTCATATGCATGTAAATGCCCTTTTATAATTTAATTATTTATTTTTAGTGAAGCCAATAAATGAAAAAAACATTGTTTTGCATTAGAATGTTTAGAAACTAAGGAATATAATTATTTTATTTTATAGTTTATTTATAATAAATTATCTACAAAACAATCATCATATATCAAGTTCATTTATGCTGCGTGAATTTACTCTGAATTTCAAAATTCTACAGTGAAAGTAATGACACTCAATACTTAGATGATTTTATTTAAAGCTGTTTGGGAAAATTTAAACACAACTTGTAGATCTCATCAAAACACACGGGGAGCATAGGTCTTCATCACCTGTATAGAATTTCATGTAATTATTCAATTTTAGTGTACCTTAATCTCGAGAAAATATTACGTTCCATAAAATGAATGTGCGGTCGACGACATGGATCGCACCACCACACCGGACGCCTAGCCGCATGCAATCCATGTTAGTATCCGTTCGTCTGGACGACGAATGTAATAATTTCACCAGCACGACAATTATAATCGAACAGGTATGTCTGGACGACGGATATAATACTTTCACATTAACACGATTCTTATAAGCATGAGTATAAACCACAAACAATAGTATCATGGTAGTTGGTGGCATTTACATACGTATAAAAAAAAATTGTTACGCATATACATATCTCACAACAAACTTTCATATTTGCAAGCATATCATTCAAATCCTTACTATCACATCAAAAATAGCACTATTATCATGTAAATATGAAAATTTAGGTGTGAGAAATGTAAATACATGAGAGTTATGTGCTACATATATAAATTTTCCAAATAATTAGTATATGTTGGAACATTTGAAATGATAAAGAGAACTCACTGTCTCAGTATTAAATAAAAAGGAGACATGAACAAAGTAAATCGTGCCTCACAATTAGTCTGATATGATATAAAAAATTAAATCGTGCCACAATTTATTTCACGAAATAGTCATTTATTACATCAACATGAGAATTAGGTGGTATGTATGTAAATCTTCCATTAAAGAAAAACAGTTCTGAACTACAGGAACTTACCGCCGGATCTTCGAAGTTTCTCCTCTTCATCAAATCAAAGCTTTGAAGCCGCCAATCTATCAAGAAACCAAAGGAACTCCCCATTCTCAAGCTTAACCCTCTGCACAGGCAGCAAATCAGCTGACAAATCGTCTTCTAAAGCTCTCTTCACTGCATCAGCTTCAGCAGAGCCAGCGACCACCATGAAAATGTAAGCCGAAGCAGCAATTACAGGGAGAGTGAAGGTTACTCGGACAGGTGGAGGTTTTGGAGAATTCTTGATGAATGTAACCCATCTCTCCTTCTCATTGAGAAGAGGATGGTGAGGAAAAAGAGAAGCAAGGTGACCATCAGGTCCAATTCCCAGAAGCATGAGATCGAACCTTGGAAACTTGGTCTGAGGTGAAATCTCCACCACCCCGCGCTCTGCCAACTCTTTCACCCGTTTCTCGTAGTCTTGCGCTGCATGCTCGGCGTTGAGAGAATCATCAACTGAATGAATTTGGTTTTCTGGGATGGGAACCTGAATATTGTTCAGAAAGCAGATGAAATCGATAATTTGGTGTTTTTGTATATGCTTGCTTGAAATATAACATAAGTTATTGTATGTTTAGGAGAGAAAATCGACAGTTGGTGCTGTTAGAAAGGAAGTAGAATTTAAGTTTGAATTTGATAAATTTTGTAGATTTATTAGTTAATTTTTGGAATCATGAGTTGTGATAGATTATTTGATTGTAGATATCCTTAGTCTATAATCAAATACTGAAATGATTGATTCAATGCAAGCCGGATGGTTTGAGCAGTTTGGTTGTAGGATTTAAGGTGTGTTTGGTGCGACGGTGCGGTGGCGATGCGATGCTGCACCGCAATTTTTCTTTATTGGCAAAATTGCATTTTGTCTGTGTTTTCAAAATACTGCCTCTAAAAGCTGCTTTTTCTGTCAGACCTGGTTACTCGCGGTGGCTGCTAAAAACTTACAGTCATACTTTTTCCAAAAAAAAAATAATAATAATTAACTGTCACCGCAGTTTTTTGAACAACTTCTTCTTCAACAGCTTCACAACTGCTTCTTCGAAAAGTTGCAGTTGCCCCAAAGAGACCCTTAAAGGAATTAATTTATAAATTGGATCTAAAGTTGAAGTTAGAAGAAAGTGGGATGGAGAGAGAATGGGCAAGCCTGAGGAGAATCTTTTGTATCGTATTCTCAACTTTTGAAGCCCTACTTATAGATCTTGGGGTGTTCATAACAAAAGTACATGACTGAAAAGAATTTAATAATAATAACTACATAAAACTACATATAATTGTTGAGCTAAATGCCAAATTGCAAGTAAGCGGATTGTTGACTGGTTGCCAATCGTGTTTGAACTAGTTATTGTGCGAGCTCTTGAGTACCCCTGACCAAGTTCCGAGTCAAATGCATTTACATTTTGCCCCGACAGGTGTTACTATCGATGAGCATTTGAATGATTTCACAAATTTGTTAGCTAATTTATTAAATTTGGAGGAGGATATTATAGATGAAGACAAATCGTTCCATCTGTTCAATTCGCTCTCAGATAAGTACATAAATTTCATTGCGACACTCATTCATAATGTCTTTAATTATGGAGAAGCGACTACAACACTGTTGAATCAGAAGTTTCGTCGAAGAAACAAAGAGTCTGTAAATATGGAGTCAGCTAAGACACGTACACTCCAACGTGACAGATCTAAGAAGCAGGTGAAGAATTGGGAAAAGAAAGGTGGCAGCATCGATACTTCCCATAAGCGGAGCAAGTCTCGTGGGTGCAGTCTTGAAAAAATCTAGTGTGTTTTTTGTTTAGAGATTGATGATTGGAAGAAAGATTGTTTGAAGCTGAAGAAAAAGGGAAAGGAAGTTGCTTCTGAGACGAAAGTCAATATCAGTGAGGAAAATCTGAAAAGACATATTCAAATTTATCGTTATCTGCAGTTTCTCATAGTTTGTTTACATATGATTCGTATTGGATTCTAAACACAGATGCTACCCATCACATTTCTCCTCATCGAGAGTAGTTTTGTACCGACAAGGAGCTGGATAACGGTGCAATGACAATGAACAATAGTCAATAGTCAAACTTCTCATACTATTTATATAGGAAGTATCTTTATTAGAATACATAATAGTACTATGAGGGAGCTGACCGACATTAAACATGTTCCAAATATCAGAAAGAATTTGTTGTCAGTTGGAACTTTAGAGTCCAAGGACTACAAAATAATTATTGAGGCAGAAATTCTGAGAATATATCGCGGAGCGATGATTTTTATAAATGAAATTTTTCATCATAATATTTACTATCGTCAAGATAGTACGATGACTAGAATGACTGTTGTTCTTCATGATTCTTCTGATATTACTATGTTGTGGCATATACGGGTAGCTCATGCTGGAGAGGTTTCATTTTAAGCTTTGGTGAAATAATGATTGACAAAAGGAGTGAGCACCTGCAAGCTAGATTTTTGTGGACAATGTGTGTTTGACAAGAGGACATGCTTATCTTTTGGTACTGTCGTCCACAGTACAAAATGTATCTTAGAATATGTTCACACAGATGTTTAAGCCCGACGAAGATAGCATCATTCAGCGGGCTGAGATACTTTGTTTTTTTATTGATGATTACTTCAAATATGTTTGGGTGTACACCATGAAGCGCAAAAGCGATGTGCTAGAGATTTTCATAACTTTGAAGAAATGAATTGAGACTCGAACTAGTAAAAAGATCAGGCGCATCAGATCATACAATGGAAGCGAATACACTTCAGATGCATTATTGCAAGAGTGTCAGAGAGCTTGGATAAAGCACTACTTCACTATTCAAGTGACACCACAGCAGAACAGGATGACAAAAAGAATGAACCGAACTTTAGTGGAGAAAGTTTGGGATATGTTATCCAATATTGGGTTGGATAGAGTCTATTAGTTCGAGGCCATTGACTATGTTTGTCACTTGATGAATCATTTGTCTTCTGCATCTATTGGAAAGAAGCCCCAAAATAGATGTGGTTGGGATATCCTGTTAGAGATAATGAGCACATGAGAGTATAACTTACTACCACGTGCAGAATGATAAATTGGAACCACGAGCAAAAAAAAGTCGATCTTCATTGGCTTTAGGTGTGAAGTTATGTCTTCAAGTTGTATGATCAGTCAAAAAAAAAGGTTGTCATTAGCAGGTCTGTCGCATTTGAAGAGGGAAACTTGTTGAAAAATAAAGACTCAAAGCAGATGGAGAGTTATATTAGAACCATAGATATGCAACAGAAATTGGAGTTTAATTCAACTATACTTATTCCATATAGTTCATCCACTTCGACTCAGATACCTAATTTAGTTGCAGTTCAAAAGGTATATATTGATAGTGCTCAGTAGAAGATGAAAGAATATGTTGATGATGAGATTCTTGCTCAGGAATCTACTGCTAGAAGCATAACTAGACTACAAAACGTCCCAAAACTAAGGAAATTGAAGGATCACATTACATTTGCACTCTCAGTCATTAATGCAGAAATTCCTTATCACTACAAAGAAGTGTTAGAGGTGGAGCCCGGTTAAAAAAAAAAAGGAAATTACATGTTTACTATTCCGGCCTCCCCTGTTTCGCGAAAAGAAGCCATCTCCCGCCTCCCGCTGCTCCTGCCTCCTCTGCTCTTCGCTTCGCCTTCCGCTCAAGTAAGTTGTGAACCGAAACAGTGGGTGTGTGTGCTCCATCCTATTTTGAGATATACAGGAGGTGATCCTAAGAAGAAGAAGGAGAAAAAGATTAGGAATCACAAGTTTATTTTCTTCCTAGGTGCGTGCGATGGCTACATCAAAATCTGTTTCTTCCTTTAGGTTCTCCAAGGCTTCTTCTCTTCCTTTTTGTGGCTACAGTGAGATAGAAGAAGAATATAAAAGCTTCTTCACGTTATCTGGCATTGTTTTTCCTAGATTTCTTTTACTCTTTGTGGTTCACGGTGGAGAGAGAGAAGAAAAGACAGAGGCTTTTCTTATAATCGCCAAGGCAATCGGCGGGTGTAAATCCTCGAGTAATAAGATCCTCTGCAACTCTGTGAACGTATGCAATTTGTTGAACCACGTAAATCTGTGTGTTTATTTGTTTCCTGGTTTGCGAATTTCTAGTTCTATTTTTCGCTTCGTCGTCGATCGTTCTATTTTATATACAACCACAACAACAAAAAAGTAAAGAGCCCAGACTGTGATCTTTAGAGAGCAAAAATAAACGAAGAAATGAAGTCTCCTCGAAAATATAGCACTTTGAGGCTAGTGAAACTACTTCCGAGAAAAAAAGTCATCGGTTGCAAATTGGTGTATGCAAAGAAGAACTAATTTCATGGAGCTATGTGAGGTACAAAGTAAGATTAGTGGCAAAAGACTTTGTGTAACAAGAAAAGATTAAATATAATGAAGTGTTCTCCTTAGTAGTTAAACACCCCTCAATTCTTATTCTCTTAGCGCTTGTAGCACAATGTGATCTGATCTTGGAACAACTCAATGTGAAAACTGCATTCTTACAATCAGAATTGCAAGAGGAGATCTACATGTTGCAGTCGTCTGAATATGGACATGGTTTGAAAACTGAACAAATCTTTATATGGGTTAAAGCAGTCACCAGGACAATGAAATAAAAAATTGATCTGTTTTTGAGGGGGCAAGAGCACACGAGGAACTAGTATGTAGGTTTTGTGAGCAAATTTATGCATGATTAAGGAAGAAAGCATTGGCAAGTTCTGAAGAGTATTCTGAAGTATATGAATGATACATTTGATGTTGGTCTTGCATTTGAGAGAGTCATATATTGCAGATTTGTGTGTAGATTATACTGACTCGGACTACATGGGTGATGTTGATAGTCAGAGATCTACTATTGGTTATTTATTCAAATTAGCAGAAGGTACACTCAATTATTCAATCTATTGTTGTGTTGTCTACTACGTGTCAAAGTTTTGAGAAAAATAGGCTGAATACTGAATAGGCTAGATTGCCTTTTCCCTTTGCTTTCATTCCATTAAAAAACAATCTTACAATCTATTTTAGGTACAAAATAAAGTGCATAATCTATTTTAAATAACTTAAAAATACATATTCTTAATCTAAATATTCAGCTGAAAGAAAAATAAATCAGAATAAAGATATTGGAAATAAGGAAACTCCTAATTATAGAAAACTCCTAATTTAGCTGTTTGATTTACGTCTTTCCTGATTGACATCCCCTCAAATTGATGTTGACTGATCAGAAAACATCAATTTGCCAACAAGAAGCTCATAACATCATCGGAACAAAAAATCCTCAATATGCCGAAGCCGAGAGTGCCCAAGCCGGAGATTGTCGAAGTCTGAAAGTGTCGAAGCCTGAGATTGTCGAAACCTGAGAGTGTCGAAGCCTGACAGTGCCAAAGCTTGACAGCGCCGAAGCCGGAGAGTGTCGAAGGCCGAGAGTGTCGAAGCCTCAGATACAACTCCTGAATCATAACATGATTCGAGCAAAGAAAAGCAAGAAATCATTTATCATTGGCGTCCAGAAATTCGAATTAATAGCCACAATAAGGATCTGCTTCCAATTACACGATCCAGATGCTATCGATCATAGCATACAAGTAGGATTCACGTCATAATCCAAATGCTACTGATCATAGCCCACATATAGGATCCAGTCGCACGATCCATGTGCTACCGATCATAGCCTACAAGTAGGATATGTATCCTGTTATAAGATCCAAATGCTATTGATTCTTCCTGCGACGATGAAGACGATCTGTTCCCTATATACCATGAGAACATAGAGATTGATAGTTAATAGAAAATTAAACCGAACAATCCAGCCTGCAGCCCCGAACGCTAGATATTGGCGTCGGCTGTTGGAGGAGACGGAAGAGATGAACCGAGCACGACATTTGTAAAACACCAACTTGATTGTAACCGTACTCCATCGCCGATCACCGAAGAAGCTCTACGAACGCCGGCCGGCCGAGGAGATTTGCTCTAACAGTAAAATGCTCCATCTCTTCGCCAATTTGTTGATTCCGCTATCGATCCTTTGGAGCCATTTTGCCTGCAGAATCTCAATGCAGAGGAATGTCACATCTACGAAGATTGATGGAGGATAGAAGCAAAATCGCTTCTCAAACCCTGTCATTTTTGGGGCTTTGTGAGATGGGTGAATCTAGTTCCTCCCTTCCCGCAAGAAGACAGGCGAGAATAGAGTTTTGACGGTCCTTAAACGACTACCGGTGGTTAGGGCAAAATTTTGGCTCTGATACCATGTCAAAATTTTGAAAAAAATAGATTGAATACTGAATAGGCTCGATTGTATTTTCCCTTTGTTTTCATTCCATTAAATGATAATCTTACAATCTATTTTGGGTACAAAATAAATTGTATAATCTATTTTAGGTAACTTAATAATACATATTCTTAATCTAAATATTCAGTTAAAAAGAAAATAAATCAAAATAAAGATATTGAAAATAAGAAAACTCCTAATTTAGCTGTCTGATTTTTGTCCTTCCTGATTGACACTATGGAGGGCAAGTACATGTCAATCACGGAGGTGATGAAGTGATATTGATGCAGGTCCTCTTGAATGAATTGGGAGTTGATCAGAGTCTCAGACTGTATTCTGAGATAATTAAAGTGCAATATTTTTTACCACAAATTGAGTTCAACATGCTCGTAACAAGCACATTGATGTGAGTATGGTTGCCAAAAAAACTCGTCGTTTGCGAACAACTCGTGTTGGGCACATTCGTCAAACATCAATTTGTTCACTCGTGTTCGACTCGTTTTAGCTTGAAATAAACAAATTACATCTTTTATTTATATAACAATATATTATATATATATTATTTATACTTGTGTGGTCATGTGATTTTGTGTCTTCTATTGCACAGATTTAGTGTAGGTTCGAATCCAACACCTCATATCTATTTTTTTTTCAAATCAATTTAACGAGTTAATTTTGAGTCAAATACGAACAAGAATATTTAAATCGAGTCGAGCACGAACACACTGTTCACGAGCCAATTCCTAACACGAGCCGATTTCGAACATGAGCAATTTCAAACGAGTCGAACACGAGTCAAGTCTGAGCTCACATAAGCTCGACTAATTTACAGCCTTATAAGTGAGGTACCACTTTGTTCAGGACTTAATTAATGATGTCAAGGTTCTGTTGAAGTTCAGAAGTTCACCTATTGCAAAAGTCTGATGAACATTCGAGTTCAGGACTGATTGCCTAGTCGGGCATTTTGAAAAAATAATGCGATGCTTGATCCCTTCGATAGGGAGGTACATAGGCAACCATCATGGTGCAACTGAATTGAAATTTAGAGCTCATTTGTTCATCTCTAACTGATATGGAAGTAAGAGGATGTGGAGATTGTTGTATTTATAGCTTGTTTTAAATTAAGGGTAATTTTATCTTTTGATTCTATTTACTAGTATGTCCTTGTTCTCTTCTATAAAAAGGTCTTAGTGTCTATAAAATATATACGGTGAGAAGCGAGAAGTTGTAACCCCAAGTCTTTTGTTATTTCTCTCAATTCAGTGCCAGTGAAATCTCTCTCTCCGTGGACGTAGGTGGGTCAACTCAACGTCGAACCACGTAAATCATTTGTGTTTGATTGTTGTTATGTGAAATTCTATATTTCCGCATTATTTTTCACATAACAATAGGTTCATACATAACACTTAAATATTTAATATCAAATCAAAAATCACACAATTGTCACTTTTTTATAAGTTTTCAAGCATAGGTTTAAAGCACCTAAGGCGGTCTTTGACTGCAACTTAGATTTATGTCCAGTAGTATTTATCAAATCCGGATTCATTTTTGACGGCTGAGTTCCTGAGCGACAATTGAATAAATCCACCTCGTACTCAGATTTAATAAATTCGGATTTACGTCGGGAAGAAGGCGGAACACAAGGGAAAACAGACAACGCGAGAAAATTCGGTTTAACGGAGCATTGGATTTAATGTTCAGCATTTTTTTGTGTTTCGTCGGATTTAAGCTAAATTCATGACTAAATTTTATTAATAATATGCCACCAAACACCCCCTAAATGTTATACATGTAAATACCAGAGTTTAGGTGTGAGATATGTATTTCTCCTTCGAACCAAACAAACCAAGCCTGAGAGGTTTCCTAGATGTTTATCACATACCTTGGAAAGGAAAGCTCGCTTGGCGACCATATAGCAGCTATCGGGATCATTCTCCTTCATCACCCTCTCATCCACCCAGAAAATATGCCACTTAGCCCAATCGACTTCACTGACATACGGCGGCTCCACTAATTTCCTGCAATCAGTTGGCAACAGAAGTGAAAATGCAATCCGAACTCTAGGGTTTCAATCGGGAAACGGATTAGCAAACTTGATCTCACCTGAGCTTGTCAACGAGGTAACCGCCGGAGAGAACGACGGTGAAGGCGTTCCTCTGATGGGAGAACTTGCGGGAGAGTTCCACCGTGTGCTTCGCGATGCCATCAGCTAGATCGTCGTCGGTGTCGAAGATCTTTACTTGCTTCTTCTCTCCGGACATTGTTGAGGAACGGCGGTGGCGATAGTACTGAGATGATTGGGATGAAGAAAGGGGTCGAAAGAGGTTGAAGAAGTATGGACTCTATTCTTTATTATTCTTTTGCTTTGTAATTTAGTATTGGGGCATTTACATACATACCACCTAATTCTTATGTATTTATATATCATGACCTAAATTTCAATATTTACCAGGCGAATAAATTTAAATTTTATTTACTTTTATTTAGGAACTTTAATAGAATTTAATCACAGAGTATTACTTGATTGAAAATTGAAGCTTGTATATATTGAATATATGGTGAAAATAAAAATTAACAATGGTAGATTATCGTGAAATTATGAGTGTTAAAGTTAGTTGAACACACACTCATGATTTGTTTTTGGGCAGTTGTAACTGTTTGAAGAAGCAATTGTGAAGTTGTTGCAGAAGAAATCATTGCTCAAAAAATTGTTGTTGTTATTACACTTTTTCTTTATTTTTAAATAGTAACTTTTTGGCAATTATTACACATAGGGTCCGTTTGGGAGTGTGTCGGGAGCACAGTGCGGAGTGACAGCGAAGTTCGGTCGTTTAGGAGCGTGTCGGGGCAGCAGCGTCCCACTTTTTTTATTAAACGCTGGTCACAGATAGAGACTCGCGACCCGCGTTCAAGGGTTAACTTTTATTGATCGACCGTTGTTCGAACCCGTTGTTCTGCCCTAATTTTTGCTTCGTGAAGAAAAGAATTATGATTGCTCAATCATGGATAAGTGTTTCAAGGTTGTCATGGCACATTTATTCATTATTTATTGGTTGTTTTATAAAGAGTGTTATGAATATTGCACTTTATTTTATTTGTTGGGTTGGCGTCGGGAATTATAAAGGCTTAATCATCAACTTCGTAGGCATGCATATGGATTAGGGTATGTTTGGGGAGGCTACAGTTGTTTCGAGAAACAGTTGTGAAGTTGCTACAATAAAGATGACTATTAAAGAAGCATCGATGCTTATTATAAATTTTATTTTCATTTTCAAAAAATGCGACTAACTTTCTGACAGTTAAGACGCCTAGTCAAGTGAGGATGTAAAACTCAACCTTTCCACCACAAATTCGTGCAAAAGTAGGCAAAAAAATTATTTTCTCAAAATCCCCAAAATTGCGATGCGAACTACGTTGCACTGTCAGCCTATCGCGCTGCTGTTATACCCATTAATTGTCAACTGATACAAATTGAGAAGTTCCGACATTTAAATACATTAAACTAAGCATTAGTTCTTTACTATAGAAATGAACCCTTATTTATAAGCTTCGGGTTATAAAATATACAATCACTTGATTGTCTCTGCTTGAATAAGGACAACACAAAGTATTTTGTTCACAAATAAATACATGCATAAATAAAATACAAAAAAAATTAAAAAAATATATCTGGTTCAGTTGCGCGATTATTCAGTCGTCTAGGACAAGTGGCCCTTGGGTCCATGAGGTTCATTTGGTCGACCTAACTATATCAGGGCTGATGGTCGGTTTCGTTTGGAAACTTTCGGTTGACGGTCAGCCTGGCTAAGGGCCTTCAGTCAGCCTGGCAAGGTCAGCCGGTCAACTCATGAAGGTCCCTTGGTTGCAAGGCTTCATGCAGGCAACTATTTTGGCTTGATTATTAATTGTTGGCCTCTTAAGTGGGATTCATGTCTCCAAGATAAGACTAGTTTCTCGGGCGAAAGACAATTTATTGCAATTTGACATGTAGCCCCACCCCTTTAATTGGAAAGCGACTAGAGGCATTTGTGTGAGTATCATGTTGGGTACGTCCTGATCTTTCTCTAAGATGACTCGCTGTATTAATTTGGAGAGTCCAGCAGATCCATTTTGTTGGATGGGTAGATCCTGATCTTTCTCGAGGGGCTTTTGTTCGACGGGCTTTGTACAAATGTTTAGAGGGGTATGTTGGCAGCTATTTTTGATACAACATGCATACATAGTGTCTTCTTGAGTTTTGAGACGCATTTACGACCTCTGAGTAATTTTCTACTCATATCCAGGCTTTCGAGGTTCATACTCAACTTGAATTCCCCTCTAACAGGCATTTTCAAAGGCACCCGCCGTGACCACTCCTGGATTGGGAGAGACCAAGGCGTGACCACACCACAATCCGGCGTGCCCACACCACAAGCTCTGAAACACACCCAAGTCACCAGGGCGGCATGACCACACTGTCATCACACTTTGCCTCGACTGGCCAACATCATCCTTTGCCTCTACTAGTTGACATTACAGTTTGCCTCGATCGGCCACCACAGCCCGACCGACATCAAAATTAGCCTCGGTCGACGCCCCAGTCTAGTCGGTGTCACATTTTACCTCGATCGTCTGCCCTGGTCTGGTCAGCGTCACATTTTGACTCGACCGACGCCTCCGTTTGGACGATACGGTTCACACCACCCTTTCAAGCAACTGCCTCTACAACACACCATTCTTCGAGTCGCTGCCTCCACTGCATGACCACCCCTATTGGGTCAATTCTCCACAGCACACCCATTATTTGGGCCGCTGTCACCAAGGTACGCTCATCCTTTCAGATCACTGCCTCCTCGACACACCAATTCTTAGGCCGCTACCTCCACGGCATGCCAACTTCCGAGTGACTGCACCCCATGCACACTTAACCCTCCGGGTCACCGCCTCTACGATACACCATCCTTTGAGCCGATGCCTCCACGGCAAACCCACTCGTTCGGGTTACCGCCTCCATGACACTCATTCTTTCGGGCTGTTGCCTCCACGACAAATTCGAGTCACTGCCTCCATTTGTTTGTGCTTCAAATTAGGCTCCACGGTCGGCCCACCAATTCACACCACTGTCTCCGTGACAAATTTGGATCACTACCTCCGTGTGTGCTTCAAATTAGGCTCCACACCTAGCAAAAATAACACCAAAAATTTCTTATCGATACAATCAACATATTCTGCGCACACATTCATACCCAAAATGCACGCATAAAATAAAAGCATAATCTAAGCACATTTTTTCTGTATAAATCAAAATATTTTTCCAAGAGGAATCATTGTTGTTGCTTTTAAATGAATAAGCATAAGTCAAAGCTATTCCTCGGAAATTATTGCAAGAATAATTTACAAGCCATTGGCCTAATTAACATAATATTAAAAAAAAAGGAATATTTACATACATACCTCTCAATTCCTTTGTATTTACATATCTAACTTAAATTTTAACTTTTACATATATGTCACTATATCTATTCATCAAATGGTGAATCACTTTTAAAAGTGAAAATAATAGTATTTTTTACAAAATATAAAAGATTTGGGTGTCATAAATTTAAAATGTAAAGTTTCCGTGTTAGATATCTAAATATATATAGGAATTGTGTGGGATATGTAAATATATAGGAATTGTGTGGTATGTATGTGTGTGCGCGTGTGTCTATATATATATATATATATATATATATATATATATATATATATAAATTGCCCCTTTTTAAAAAAAAATAATTAAAAAAACACATGAGCAAAAGGAATATAGCATGATTTATTTAACACCAACAGTTATTTAGTACATTAACGTGGGCCGTAGAGGGCATATGAGCCTCTCATACATCTACTAAACCCCATGAAACATAAGACGGTCAGCAGGACCGTTATTCAAAAGCAAGAACAGCTGACTGATGCCATAAAACCTGCAACAAAAATAAAAAATAAACAGTTCTATGGCTTAAATGAAATCTCAGAGCAAGAATAATGCAAAACTACATGATAATGAGTGTTGGGAAATAGAAAAAAAAATAATTTAAATATTTAGAGTAAAAGTTAATATAAAACATAGTAGAATAATAACATATACAAAACTAAATATGTTTGTGCAATTAATGGCCACATTATGATGCTATGATTGCAAATTTTCGATATAGTATGATTGCTGATAATGCAAGCCTAATTTGTCGAATAATATGACTTGATGTTTGGAATGACTGTACTTTTTTGAAAAGTTGATTGTAAAATTGTGGTGAAGAAATCAACTTACTTGTAGTGATAATTATAAACATATATATTTTTCCCAAAAAATTAAAGAACAACTTGACGGATTATATTGAAAAAAAAAATTTTTTTGCCATAGAAATTTTTAGAACATAATTCCTCAAACATAACTGTGGTAACGATATGTAACGCAAAACAGACAGAAAGTTGTCCCAAACAGAAATCTGCATAACTTCTTTCTTTCTTGGGATAAAAATTAGGCCTAGTAACTTAAAAATTAGTAGGTGCATGCTTTCACCAAGACGGACCAAGTATATGCATGAAAAATGTTGCGATGATATTGCTTTGATCATGGTAAATGACAAATTTAAACTGTTCGATTCAAAATTTCCTGTAAATTATATCGAAATCTCACACACATGCCTAAAGAAAAGGAATACCAAACATCGAAGAGAAATAAAGCGAGACTGTAGAATAAAAAGCTTTATAATTTCAGCCAAATGTGAGTTTCAGTGTAAATAATTTGCTATTGGAATACTTCTAAATGATTTCCACAAGCTCAACAATTAAAACTCTGAACAGGGTTATAAATAGAAGATTGTGTGTGTGGCTTCCGGGTAAAAGAAAAAGGGAACGCAACAGCAAGCTTTTTCTTTATCCTTCTTCTTCTCTGGCTTACGGTGGAGAGAGAGAAGGAGAGGAGAGAGAGAAAGAGAGAGAAATTATTCTTGTAATCGTCGAGGTGATTGATGGGGTATAATCCTCAAGCTAATAAAATCCTTTGCAGCTCCGTTGACGTAAGCAATTTGCCGATCCACGTAAATCTGCTTGTTCTGCTGTGTATTCTGTTCTGCAAATTTTTTGTTCTAACTTCCGCTTTATTGCCGTCAATTTTCACAACATTGTCTGCTTGATTAAAAAATTCATTGACTAGGGGTGTCAAACCTGACACGATATGCCAATTCAATCCGAGGTCAACTTGAAAATTCTATATTCAGGTTGACATTAATAATTTTCGGGTTAGGTATGGATTAGGAATCTTAAGCTATTTAATTTTTCGAGTTAGGCTCAGATGAACCTGTGAACTTGAAGTTGATCCAAAACAAGCCCGCTAATTTAAAATGAACTCAAAAATCGGCCTTGAAATTGAACCGATATTAACTCAAAATTGACCAAAATTTGACCCGAATAGCTGTTATGCCTTGTGTTAAAATATTAGACTGGTCAAATTTGGGTTAGTGGGTTGAAGTTGTGTTGGGTTTGGGTTACATTTTCTGAGTCATTTAATATTTGAGTAAGATTTGGGTCAAGCAGTTTCAAATTTGGTCAATTTTGGGTCAACCTTGAACCCATTTTGAGACCTCTATTGGCTACTAGCTCCTAACTCCAGAGCATAAGAGAGTGCCTGTGCTTAACCGAACAACTTAACCCTGGGCAAATACACATAACTTATCATTGACCAAAGTAGACTCAGACAAGTTCATGATAATTCTAATGAGTTCATGATAGTCATAACAAGTTCACCATTTTCTATTGTTCTGACTTGACCAAGTTACCTGAATTGGTCTGACTTAGAGTGAACCGAATTCTAATGTACAAAAGCAACTTCATAAATTAAGTTAAGGAGATAAAGAAACCCGAACTCGGAAGAGGAGGTTTATCTCATTTCCTCGTTCATCCCCTAATACCTTCCAACAGAAAATATTATGGAAAGTAAAACCCCTAACTAACCATTAACCCCTACACATAACTTACCGAGGAACTACAATAACTAACAGGTAACAAACCTGTTAATATAATTCTAATCCGCCCGTTACATTTACCTAACAAATTATCAACATTGAACATGCATGCCATGCAAAATCAATCAAAATAATTAAAAAACACTTGCAAACTACAGGAACTTACTATCAGATATTCAAAAGCTTTGAAGCTGCCAGTTTATCAAGAAACCAAATGAACTTCCCATTCTCAAGCTCAACCCTTTGCACAGGCAGCAAATCAGTTGATGAATTAACCCCTAATACTTTCTGCACAGCATCAACTTCGCCAGAGCCAGCGATCACCATGAAAATGTAAGCCGAAGCATCAATTACAGGGAAGGTGAAGGTTATTCGCACAGGTGGGAGCTTTGGAGAATTTTTGATAAATGTAACCCATTTCTCCTTCTCATCGAGAAGTGGGTGATGAGGAAAAAGAGAAGCAAGGTGGCCATCAGGGCCCATTCCCAGAAGCATAAGATCAAACCTTGGAAACTTAGTGTGAGGCGAAATCTCCACCACCCCACGCTCCACCAACCTTTGGATCCTGGCCTCATAGTCGTCTGCTGCATGCTCTGCGTCCAGAGAATCATTAATAGCATAAATTTGGCCTTCGGGAATAGGAACCTGTATTGTTTGGAAGGAAGAACAAATCAATACTCGACTCTCTTTTTTTTTCTATACTTCGTTGAAATATCACAGTTCATTATCAATCTAGGACAGGAAATTGACAGTTTGGTGTTGTTTTATAAGAAGTAGAATTTGAGTAAATCCGAATTTAATAAATTATATAAATTTACAGAGCGTGAATGCCTAAAATTTGACTCCTGAATATTGATTGATTGCAGATATCTTTAATAACTAAATTCAGAAAAAAAAAACTGCTAACCTGTATGCAAGCCAAATAACTTGAGCAGTTTCATCGTGTGAGGTTTAGAATGGATTTAATGTATACCCAGCTAGAGAGTTTTCAAAGCTTTCATAATGGATTTAATAAATCCATAGTTTGGTAAAAGCCAGGCAACAACAGAATTCAAGGAATTTGAGGGTTTAGATTTAGCATATCTTCTTAAGCGTATCCAAAAATATTTTAGGATTTGACTTGGATTAAGGATATAGACAAACAGACAGTTTTCAGGATTAAAAACTCTAAAAAATAGCTAAATCCTTGTTTAGAATGTTTGCTTAAATTCCTATTGCCACCAAACAGCCCTTTAAATGTTGGCGAAATTTATTTAGCCTTTGTTTGGGAGTGCTTCTTCTTTTATAAAAGATCCTTTAAAAATAACTTCACAAGAAGTGATAAGTGGTGATATAAAGTTGTGATTCCTAAAGCCGATATTAGTGTTTGAATAAAAAAATGTGTGTGCTTTTAACACTATTATTTATAAGCCTTTTAATATAAAATACTATAATAATTCTAATAATTTTAAATTATAACCATCATATTTAATACTACCAAATTGTTTGTAGAAAATAAATTTTAAATATAAGTAAATCCGATAAATTAGAATTTATCAAATTTTCATGATAAATTCAAAATTACATTTGACTTAAAATAGTTTGACATATATAGCATGTTGTTTTAGAATTTCATAGCAATTAATTTAAAAAATAATAATAAATATGAAATACAAAACTAGCATCACAATAATTTTAAAAATATTAAAAAATTTGATGACATGACCAAAATTAAAAAATAACTCTTTTCCAAAATCAATCGGGTGACGTTGAGAAACACTTTGCCCGTTGTATAATCGTAACCTTCTTCAAAACTTCATTCATTACCCTCCTTTACTCCGTCTCCAATGTCTTTCTTCTCCATTGGATACTCCTCATGGAAAGCCCTTGTACGAATTGCTTTCTTCTCATTGGCTTCACCTCCTTTTCTTCTAGCCTCATAAATGACCTTTAAAAGCACTATCATGGCGAAAGAAAAAAGTTTTTATTTTTAGGATTTGTATAGAAAAAAGTGAAATGTTGTATGGGATGATATTTGATTTAGAAGAATCAAAAGAATCCGTTTGAACAACGAAGTATTGCGAAGCTATTTTTTTTATTCGATTTCGGCTTGCCGCAGTTACCTTGAAATATGCAATGCTTTACAGCGAACATCGCTGCTTCTTACTTGCATCGCCTGCTCCGGCGAATAATCGAAAGCTCAAAGATTTCTCGTCCGTGTCGAAGGGGAGGATATTGCGGTCATTTTTTTCCGCTCCCGTAGGAGCTTCCTTCCCGCTGTAAGATCTCAGGATGTGCAGATGCCAATGTTGCCGATTTCCTTCCCACTGCGATCATTTTCTTTTTTGCCATCTACGCTCAACAATATGTGAAATCAAGAAATTTAGAGCAATGTTTTGTGTTTTTTTTAGCTTATTGACTAGATGTTTAGTATTAGACCTGAATAACTTTTTATTTAACCTTGAGGAATGTTTCGGTTTCTTTTCTGCACATTTTGGAAAACAGCGCGAATGCTAGCTATTGTACAATAAAACATATAACAATGGCAACTTGAATTTGGGGCCAAATAGTAATAAGAGAGATCAATTTGATTGGGATGCATATATGAATTCAATTTCTTGTTAACTAAACAGGGAATTGCTCTAACTTGATTCAACTAGGATTTCTTACTCACAAATTCAAATTACATAATTGTTTGGTCATCTATTTTCCTCTGTTGTGTTTGAGTAGAAGACTAAAAACAAGCAAAATTTGTTTTCTAGGTTTGGCAGAGATGTAGAATGGGATCCCAATAAGGTAAGATTGTTTTTTTTTTCCTTTTTTCCTTGCTTTGAATGGTTTGTATTCTGATGTTGTGTGATAATGGATATACAATTGTGATGATAAGTATTAATACATCGGTGATCCTTCACTCTTGAAAAAAAACTCATTAGTTTATGGGTATTTGAGCAGTTATCATGGTATTTGTTTTTTCATGATGTTTAATGATACTCCATATTTTATCCCCTACTCTTTGGAAGGATTTTTTTCTAATCCAATTGAAGAAGTTAGAGAAGTTGGAGCGTGTGAAGGCGAGTGGAAGGAAGGGGTAGAAAATCAAGTTTTAATTTCTTCAATGGTAGGTCCTTGTACGCGGCAATTTGTTTTTTCTTTCCCAGCTAGCTCTAATTTTAACTGTCTCATTAGGATTTTGGTGTTAAATCTCGTTGCTTTCCCACCAGTCTCATGGTCTCCTAAAATTTGAATTGAGTGCTATGTATGTCAATCTTCCTCTATCCCTCTCTTTATATGCATCCATCCATCTATAGAATTGTGTGGTATGTATGTAAATGTCCCATATGTATAAACTCTCTGATGAGAAATCCTCCATTGAAAGAATTACTTTTAAAGGGTGTTCCTTCCAACTTCTAACAGTAATATGCTGCAATAGAAAACTAAATAAATACACAGGAGAACAGGAAACTAACTGATTATGATATTATGCTATTCCCTTCAATTTGGATTTCTATATTTGTAAAATCTTAAACCTTTATTTAGAGTTGTCTCATCTTTTTCTAGTTGTTTCTGTGTGCAAAAAGGTTTTTTGCTGATTTTTACCACGATATACTGAGTGGATTTCTCAGATGACAATCAATCTTTGTTCATTTACTGCGTTTCTTTGCATTATTATGGTTTTGATTTGTGCTTAATTTTCCCACGGAGACGCTTTTCATCCTATTCTTCTTTTTGCCCTACCAGCCTCCTGTGCTTGTATTAAGGGTAAAATTGTGCTAGAATTTTTATCTATTCTTATTGTACCTTTGTAAAATTGTATATCCATCTTTCAAGTTGTGTTTCAAATGGTAGTTGTTGATGATGTAGAAGCTATGGTAGTATGCTTTAATAGAATAGTGTAATTGTTCTTATCGATCTATATTCTGTTGTGTGTTATTGTTGCTCTGTCTATCGATCTATATTATGTTGTGTGTAGTGCTAGACTATCATGTGCGTCGGATAATATGGGTTTATTCAACATAATAATACGAGTGTTGATGGATTTATTCAACATAATAATACGAGTGTTGATGGTGATAAAAATTATAAATTCCAAACTTGGTTGTTAAAATCAGAACGTTTTCTACGAGTATTGTGAGATATGTGCTTTCCAATGGCCTCTGATAGAGTTCGGAAATGCTTGTAAAAAAAATGTATTAAGGAAAAAAGTGAAACTTGTTGCTTTAGGTAAAATTTTTCTTTAAGATGGTGTGCTCATTTGTATAGTTATTAGAATCATATGATCAATTATCCAGATTCTCATGCTTAATTAAAAATTGATAGAAAAAAATGACTATTTATCCACAAACTTCAGCTGTATTCAAACTCAAAAATCAAACAGCTACGCAGCTTATCCAAATCAGGGCAAAATGGTCATTTATCCGAAAACAGTTGCAAATCAGTTGTTTTCCAAACACACAAACCAAACAGTCAGCCAGCTTATCCGGATAAACTGCTAATCAACAGTTTATCAAGATAAGTTGTTTATTTGAATAAGCTGTATAAATTGTAGCTGCCCCAAACATACCCTAAATAAAAAACATATAGAAAAAAATAGAGCAGCAAAAGTAAAGCTTAATGCTGGTTTTGGATTGACGGAATGAGGGGTGATGGGTTTGATTTCGGTGTAGTACATTGAAAATTGATTTTACCCAAGAATGAGAACTTAGTTATTTCTTTTTAGGAGCCTTTACTTGAAACTCGCGAAAATCTGAAGTAAAACTAAAGCATAAATAATATTAGATTGTGCTCATTTTCGAATGAAAACTTGCAATCTAATAGAAAACAAAGTGGGACAATCAAGGAGGGTTCTACGGTTCATTCATGCTTATTACATACCTTGGAAAGGAAACCATCTTTGGCGAGCTTATAGTTGCTATCGGGATCCGTCTTCTTCACCACCCTCTCATCGACCCAGAAAATATGCCACTTAGCCCAATCGACTTCACCGACGTACGGCGGCTCCACCAATTTCCTGCAATCAGTTGGCAGCAAAAGGGAAAATGAAATCTGCAGAGTACTAGGGCTTCATAGGAAAACTGGTTATCTAATTTTAGTCTCACCTGAGCTTGTCGATGAGGTAACCTCCAGAGAGAACAACGGTGAAAGCGGGTCTCTGGTGAGAACGGGAGAGCTCCGCCGTGCGCTTGGCGATGGCCACAGCTAGATCGTCATCGGTATCAAGGATATCAACTTCCTTCTTCTCTCCAGCCATGTTGATCAAGGTAGGAGAAGACAGTGGGGAGGAAAAAGTGGGAGAAGGACGAGTGGGTTGGGGAAAGGGAAACAGAGCTATTAAATAGGTTTAAATAGGTAAGCCAGAAGGCTTCCAACGTGAAAAATGAGGGACAAATTGGACAGCAATATTATTATGTGGTGATTACATACATACCACCCAAAATCTGCTATTTACAAATCAACCACCTTTTTTTGCAACCATTTTTTATATTCACGAATAATTCTTGTTTGGCTCGTAAAGAGTTGTATTGAATATGTTCGCTAACATGAACAATTTTTTTTGAGAATGATGTACAAATAAATTGAATACAGACAAAGATTTGCTCATTTAAAATAATTATATAGATATATAATTGGATAATAGTATTTTTAAAAAATTTAATATGCGACAAAGATTTATAACTAATTAAAATTATTAATCAAAATTAAAATAAAATATATTAAATGTTTTAATATAAATAATAATATTTAAATCTTGCCCCAACTTTTAATATCATATGGTTGTGTCGTTAGGAATGTCAAAACGACTCTTTGTTCGAGAATGACTCGTGTTCGGCTCGCTAAGCAAACAAGCAGCCGAACACAAACACATTTTTTATGTTCAAAATATAACCTAGCTGAGTATAAACAATGATATTTTTTTAACTAGTCAAGCACGAGTTGAGTCTGGGTTTGCTCGTGTTCAACTCGTTTACAACTTTACCCATATTCTTAGTGTGTTCTCTGGTGATATTTACATTGTGTGTGTAACAAATTATTGTATTAGCGTCGTATGAAAGTTTAGCACACACACAGATGAAATAGAAAAAGCAATGATGACTCCAGAAGTTTTTACGTGGAAAACCTGTAAGGAAAAAACCACGGGGTCTGACCCAATTGTGGAAATCTACTATTTATTGATTATTACATAAATCCCTTGTCCCACAGACGGGAAAGGGTAACTATATTTTTCAAGGTACAACGTCGACCGACGGCGTCTGGTTGGTGGTGATCGATGACGGTAGGTATAGGTTGACGACGTTCGACGGTGGTCGTCGGCGATCGACGACAGTCAACGGCGGTCAATGACGGAGGTCGGTGGTGATGCTGAGCTGCAACTTCTCCTCAAGATCTCAAGCTCTCTTTAGACTTCCTCCCCCTCCATGAAAGGGACGAGACTCTATTTATAGTGTTCTGGGTGCAATTAATGCAGGAATATGAACCATTTTGATCGGACGGTTCAGAGAGCTTTCCTCGATCAAACGGTGTTTAATGGACATTGGAGTGCTTTAATAATGTCAGAATTGAGTGATATTGGACTCGTTGGATTCGTCTTGTCGAGTCGCTCGATTTGTCGCTCGATTTGTGTCGAGTCGCTCGATTTGAGTATGAACTTGTCATATTTGACAGCTGTTTGACTTTCCAAATGTGTCATGAAATTTTCTAAGGGTGGTTTAATGACTTGATCTGAGCTTGATTTGACTCGGATTGGACTAATTTTTATATCATTAGGTCCGTCTCATCGAGTCGATCAATTTGACTATAAGTTTGTTGAAATTGGAGCTCTAGATGACTTTCTATTAAGATTTGAACATTTCTTGTTGAAAATATCGTCTCGGGATCCGTGTCATGCTTTGAGATTCGTGCATGATGATGAAAATTTATTGATGTCGTATCAGTTGACCTCATATTTTTGGGCAAAATCATTTTTATCGTCCGAAAATATCAAAATTAGAAGCATTTAAGTCTTGCATATATATTATTTTATTAGTATTGGTATAACAATATTTTTTCTTCCTATATAATAAAAAATTGAAGACAGCTCAGTTGGTAAGAATTTTTGCTTCATGAGAGGTTGGCAATGTTCAAATCCTGTCTTAGACAAAATATTAAAATTTTATATTCAAAGTTAGGGAGTTTGGGAAGCCCAAATTTCTCATGGAATTCGAGAAAATTGTTTTTTTTTTAGATGAAAAGTTATTTTATTTTATTTTATGTTATTTTCCTGTCATTTAATGTTTTCACACATTTTTTAGCCTATTTAATAACAAATATTTAATTTTTCACTTTTTTTTAAGTTTATTTAATAACAAATATTTAATTTTTCACTTCTTTTTAAGATTTAGAATAATGACCATTAATGATTAAATCCCTTTCGGAGCCTATAAAAAGGGGTCTGATGGAATGGGTAGAGGTAGAGTCCCCAGCTGATTCGGGATTTCCCAGAAGAAGAAAATTGTCCCAACTTGAGGTGAAGAGTTGTGGGGTTGAGTTGCGGCGAAGAGTTGCGTCGCAAAGTTACTGGGCAGAGTTGTGACGCAGATTTGCGGTGCAATTTCGCGACAAAGCGTTGCGGTGCAGAATTGCGGTGAAGCGTTGCGGTGCAGTGTTGCGGCGAAGCGTTGCGGTGCAGTGTTGCGGCAAAGCGTTGCGGAGCAGTGTTGCGGCAAAGCGTTGCGGTGTAGCGTTGCTTTATATTGTCGCAGAAATGGCAACAACTGGAGAACCCCGTTATGCTGAGAACCAGAGAAAAAATTAGAAACCAGAGGATGTTGTGTTAGTTTTGAGGGAGAGCGACTTGATCTTTTTTCAAAAAAAATATTACTTCCCAAATGATATGGTGGTAAAATTGTCAACTTCAACTGATCAAGCGTATTCTCCTCCTCCTGGGTATGTTGCTATTCATGAGGCAGCCTTGAGAGCAGGTTTAAGATTTCCGTCGGCACCTGAGTTTATTGATATTGATATTATGAAGGTGTTATTATGAAGGTGTTTCGGGGTTTGCGTTGCCCAATTGTCTTGTTGGGTGGTAACAGTCATTATTAGGTAAATTGTTTTCTTCAAGAGTCGTGGGTCGACGTTAACACCGACAATTTTGGCACAGATGTGCTAGTTCTTTAGCGACACACATGATCGTGTGATGTTTAAGCATAAGATGTTGAATTTTCGCCTAAAGGAATCGATGAGACAATGATCCGTGAAATTCTTTTTTGCACAAAATGATTGGGGGCTCTACGAGAGACGAGAAAGGTTTCGACAATTGTCTGTCTCTCTTCAGACTATCGAGGAGGGAATATTGCAGATGTTGGGATTTTGTGACTTGAATGGTCTGTTGTTCGAGACACGATATATTTACGAATTTGTGAGTGATGAATCATTGTTCAATGTTAAGCTTTCTTTCCACCCCGAACAGTCTACGACTATAGTTTTAAAAAAATCTAAGAAGAGACCTTCTGAGCCAGCCCTCGAAGAATCATTAAAGCGTCTCCCAATGAACAATGACTGTGAAGTACTGCCTCAAAAACAAAAGAAGATCGAAACATCGCGGGAGTCATTGCCAAGCCCTTCAACTATTCACATTCTTGAGAATATCTTGTCTCATGAATGTATTGGGCTCCTAGAAGTCGAGATTTTTGTGAGTTTCTTTCATCTTCTGCTACTATACAATTATTTCATCTGATCCAGATTTCTTTTCTTCTAGGTGGATAGTATGGTGGAAACCAGAAAGGGGCTAGGACTGGCATTAAGAAACTGGAATTCCGAGTTCGCTAAGATCAAATATTTGGAATGAATCAGGAGTTGAAAAAATTACATCTTTGGAATCACAGTTGATAGAGTGTAGGACAAAACTTTCAACAATAGCAACTTCCCTCTCGTTGCAGCTTCAAGATCTGGAGAAAACTCGGGAGGGGTTGATTGAAACACGAGCCAGCTTTCGTGAAAGTAATAAGAGTGTGAAAGCCCTTCATTCGACGGTGTTAGCCCAAGAAGAAGAGATTCCACTTTTTAGGTCCGCAAAAGAAGTTGATGTCTCAGAAATTAAGTATAAAGCAGTCGAGGACTTTAAGAACTCCTTGAGTTTAAGACTATCATTCGAGACCATGTTCAAGAGGCTCGTGATCGGGTGCTTGATGTTGAGGTAAATGAGTAGCAAAAGTCGTTCACCGAGGAAGGATTCATCCAATGTTTTCTGAAGGGGAGTCGAGCAGTGCAACGTCGAACCGATATAATCGTGGAGGGGCTCATTCCTAGCCAAGTTTCGAAGGATTCTTCCTCGGATTCTGACGGTGATGACATCAAGAGTGAATTGAAGAAGGTGCTCTTTAATGACAATGAGGGGGCTGAGGAGAATGTTGATGTTGATTAGTGTTATACTCCTCCTTTTATGCTTGTAGTGTGTTTGCTTTTGTCATGTTATTTGATCCTCACAAATGTTATTTTGATGTTGTATGAATGATGCATGTAGATCATCTTGTTTAATTTTTGGATTTTGTTAGCTATTTGCCCCCTGAGTATCTTCTCTTTCTTTTTATTTGTTGTTTTATGATAATGTTTTCCTTTCATTCCACAGTGGATACAATATATCTTAGAAGTTCTAGTATATGAGAAAGTTATTGTGGGGATAAATTGCCAGCTGCTTTTAACTTGGCTGGGTTTATGCATCAGAGTATTTCTTAATGATGTTAATTTGTATGTGAGGAGCCAACGAAAGTCTACTGAGGACTTATTAATCCATCCGAGGTTGTTTGCTGAAGCATTGCTCACTTTTGAACCTGTATGGAAGAGATCAGGTGTAGTCCACCAAGGACTCTTAATCTTTTCAAGGTTGTTTATCGAACTAAAAACTCAATGATGTTAACCCAAGAGGTCAAATCAAATCCCCTTGGGATTGACTGTTCTCTAACTAAGATACAACCAGAGTTGTGTGTTTCTCAGGCCAAGAGCATAAAGTGACTCATGGAAGAGTCGTTATATTTTCTAAAGATATTGTTTTTTGTAGAAGAAAGTAAGTAAATATATTTAATGAGTCTGAGATATATTGACATGGTATGTAATATGACATAGATGATATGAATGAAGTGCTACTGGTAGTATTTCCAAAGATTCTCGGCATTCCAGGTCTGGGGCAGGGGT